GTGGTTCCCAAATGTCTTTGCCGGAGGCGGAATTGCCCTGCCCTTGCCTGTCCGGGCTAACTAATCTGCTCGGGTTTGCTCTCGGGAACTTTTGTTCCCTGCAAGCTTTCCATACAGCTTTGGAGGTCGATAGTGAAAATGGTGGCCTCCCAATCTCCGCCCCGGAGGAGCCGAGAACTCGGGGCCCCGCTCCTCAGTGAGCCCCCAGAGAAAAGCAGTCAGTCATTCCCGTCTCCCCGGTCTCCAGCCGCACTCCGTGCTCACCCGGCCTGTGACTGAGCGTTTCTATCTCTGGCACCCGACACCATGTGGAGTCTCCAAACCCAGCAGATCCCTGTGGTGCACTCCTGTGCTGCTCCTCCCGGGGGAGGAAAGGGAGTCTCCCCGGATCTGCCACTTGTTGGGTCCCTGCTGGAGGAGAAGGAGCCTGACTGTGCCGCAGATCATGGTTTATGGCAACCCTGAGCTGAGAGCCCGCGCCTCGGCTCTGTCTCTGTAGCCAGCTTCCCTGCTCCTATCCCTGGGAGCTCTGCCGCACTCAGGCACCCCCGGTCTTTCTGTGGCCCGAGGGTCCTGAGACCACACTATCCCCGCAAGGGTTCCACCCCCCGCTTAGCCACTGGAGCGACGTCCCTCAGCAGAGCAGACTTGTACAAGTGGCTCTATCACTTGCCAGAAGTGACCGAAGGAGTTCCCTCCCCCGCCGTCTATCCTCCCGAATATCACCTCAGATTCACTTCTCCGCACGTCCTACCTTCCAGAAAGTGGTTACTTTTCTGTTCAGAGAGTTGTTGCTATTCTTTTCTTTGATCTCCTGTTGAGTTCGTAGGTGTTGAGAATGGCTTGATCCCTATCCAGCTGAATTCCTGAGACCAGACGAAATCCAGGTCTCCTACTCATCCCATAGTAGCCTTTATTTTAAATAAGACCCTTACCCTGAAGTTTGAGAATCAGTGGGCTAGTGTATTTCTGCCCACATCTATAAAAGCCTCATCAGCATGCAAATGAGCATCTCTATGATATAGCTTGGTATAAGAAGGTTAAAAACTGCATCCCCATGGTTTGAAACACAGTGTGGAAAAGTAATCAAATGGATCAGTGGAGAGTAATAATTGGATTCCCTCCACCTTGCACATACATTCTTAATGCTTATAAAAATTCTGGTCTTTGTCATCCATTCTCTAAACTCAGAAACCTGAAGCATAGTATTTTTAAATGTGCTAAATTGTCTAGCATTGTCTTAAGAAATTACTTTTTTCTGCTTCATTACATTTTCCAGGTAGGTGAGTTCTTAACTATTTAACCATTCTAGAAGAAGCATAGCCAGTATTATGAATATTAGTAGAACTTGAAGGGGAAGTGAATTAACACAAAGGTACAACTTAGTGCATTTATGTCTTCATTCATGCAACAAAAACATGATTACTTTCCTTCCGTGGACCGTCACCCAAGTCAAAATTCCTTATGAGCCCAGATACCTTGTTTGGGTAATAAAGCTTTTCTGTTCCAACAAGTTACAGCTCTTTTAGGTGCTTATTATAAAGTGTAGAGAGTGTCAAAGATAAACCCACCTCTTTGAAGAGCACACTTTTACGGTAAAGAAGGAAAAAGATATACATGCAATTCATAGATCTTTAAAAAATGAAATCCTTCTGAATGAAGCATGTGGACCTTAAGGACTGTCGTGGGTTAGACCTGTAAGAAGTCTTCATGAACCTGTAAATGGCCTTTGAATGGAGGCTGGATTCTTAGGAAAAAGAGACAGGCGTTATCTTACAGGAATGGGGACATGCATGTGAGGTGCATAGAAAGATGCTTACTGCAGAAAAGAATGGAAACAATTTAAACATCCATCTATAAGGAGTTGGATGGATAAACATATAGAATGGAAGAATGCACGGAAGCATTCAAGTAGATGAACTAGATTTATATGTAAGAACATGGATAAGTAATAAAACGATGTTAAGAGAAAAAGTGTAAGTTACAGAACAATACATACTGTATTGGCTATTCGTGTATTGTAAAAATTCAAACATATAAACACATTAAAAAAGATTGGAGGAATGCTCACTTAATTCATTATAGTGCTTGCCTCATAGGAGGTCGGAATGAGGATTAAGTGAAATTCAAATTTCTGAGTAATTTATGACTACTTAAAAACAGCTTGATACAGCATAACAATATTGGAGGACATTTCTTGTGGTTTGCATGGAAATTTGTGATATTCTTCTTTGATCCTTTCAGTGATAATGTCCTCATGGTCTTCATGAAAATAAGTTTGAAAGAAGAAACAAAAAATGAAATTAACATTACCAGTTAGTGTTGATCTGATCAGTCAGTGTGTGCAGTGGATATAGACTTTGTTTCTCTTTGTAGGTAAATGTCACTCGGGAAGAGTCACCCAGTGAAGACCCGATCTTTCTTCGAACTTTAGGGAAAGGAGACTGGTTTGGAGAGAAAGCCTTGCAGGGGTGAGTAGATGACATGTTACACAGTTTTTGTTTGAGTGCTGCATAAATTCCCGTCTCATATACTGAGCTCCGAGCAAAACAGGCTCTTTATTTACTGTTGATCCTACTGTCGGACACAGACCTTTGATGACCATTTTTATTTATTTCCAGGGAGACTTGTCATGCATTTATATAGGCTTTAGGATTAATTGATGAACTTGTGTAGTATCATTTTTATATTAATGGGGAAATTTCTTGGCTCTGTGCTCCTTTTCTACACTCTCTATAAGGACTCTAAAAGAGAGGGGAAAGTCTCTGCTAAGCTTATTTTGTGCCACAATTTTGCTTCTAATCTTAGGAAGACGATTGGTTGAGAATTTGGAAATCCCTGAACTGACTATACCCACCGAAGGTGATGGATGGGCTTCATGTCTGGGTGGTGGTTGTCACTGTGGGTGGTAGAGATGGAGATCATGCACGTGCGGATCCCCGTGGATGGGCTCCAAAGGCTGGACCCAGAGACATGTGCTGTAAAATGTCCCTGAATTCTACTTGTAAAGTAAGTCCTCGAGAAGCAAGCACTGGGATGTCTTCCCACATACTATGGAAGAGGCACCCAGTTGACTTTGAACTGCATATATTGCAGAACACATGACAAATATGATAGCTCTATTTGGGTATTTGCCTCTTGTTTTCCAGTAAGCAACACATCTCAGTTATCATGTATAGATTGATGAGACTCTTCAAAACTCAGTGCCGTGTGTGTATATACATCTACTTGAATCAGAAATAACCAATATACATTTATATGTGTGTCAAAATCCAGGTGCCGGAGGGTCTGCTAGAGAGGAATAGCAATAGGATATAATTTATGCCTAAAATATTTGGAAGTCAGTTTTGTTTCCATTACGCTTTCATTTAAAAATTACGTTATAAGCATTTTGTTTGAAATTACTATGAAGAAATCATTTAGGGAGTTTTAATTTTTAAGCCACAATCAGCAGGGTTTTTTTTTCTTTCTTACCCTTTCACAGCTACAGAAATGAAACAGAGATCCTGATAAGTCATCTTACGTACACTACATTACCTTATGAACATTCAGAGCTAAAAGTATTTCAGTTTCTTCTTTTCTTCTGCTTAGTTCATTTGATCCTTATCTGATGAGCATGTACTTGCCATTAGATTTTTTCTATGGCAATGTTGGAAGAAATACCGTGTTCACTGTACATTCACAAAAGAATAAAAATAAACATTATCTTTTTAGTATAAAGCACACAGACCTATCATTTGTACTTGAATATTTCTTTCCCTTGATTATACATAGAGGATTCTAGAGAATGATGCCTCCTGATTCCATTGGTCCAAGATTAACTGCCTGTGTAAAAAAATGTCATTTCCAACAAAGCCAAAGAAACAGAAATATTTTCAGTCATTTCTGATTGAGATCACAAGTGGAACGCCAGAAAATAAAACATGATTGAAAATGGACAGATTTTCTTTTGTAGCTTATTGCTGCTGAATTTGGGTACCTATTAAAGAAAGCTTTTATGGTGAAAACCCCTTTCTAGAATGTGTCTAGAAGTTCTTAAGAAGTGACCGTGAGTATATAGTTCATGGAAAAGTTACCAGCTTTTCTCTGGTATCAGAATATAATGGTGTTCCATCTAGACTGAATTCATTCTGGCATATGGCTATTCCCGTGAACTGTCTGGTGCCCCAACTCTCTCTTGTACGTGTTTGGTCCTCTGGTCTGGCTGGCTCCTCACTCCACCCCCCTGCCCCCGCCTTCCCACTCCCCTGCGTTCCCTGGGGCCCCATCCTTCCCCCAGCAGTGTCTTTCTTTCTTGTGCCCTCTGCCCTTATATTCTCGCTGCTCCACCTGGCTTTACCAGCCTACTCTAAGTGCCCTCTGAAATGTCACCGGGGATTTGCAACTTGCACCAGAGACTGCCCTTCCTTTTCTGTCTTCTTCTTCTCAGCCAGTTTTACCCTGCTGACCACCCCTTCCTTCCTTCCTTCCTTCCTTCTTTATGTGAGAGGGAGAGAGAGCACACAAGCAGGGGGTAGGGGCAGAGGGAGAAGCTGACTCCCTACTGAGCAGGGAGCCCCACTCAGGGCTCAGTCCCAGCACTCTGGGATCATGACCAGAGCTGAAGGCAGGCGCTTAACTGACTGAGCCACCCAGGCACCCCCACCCTCTCTTTCTTCAAATTCCCCTTCCTTTGGGTCCCTTGCAACTGTTAGCACTTCTTAGAATTTCTCATTCAATTTCCTAAAATTCATCACTGTTTTGTCCTCAGATCTCTCTATTACAAACATTTTGATAGACCTCGAGATCCATGGTTGCCTGTCACCTTGATGAGAAGTCCAAATACTTATATTCTTATAGGAGCTCAGTATCTAGCACTTTTCAGATACTCAGCATGTAATCGTTGAATGAATGAATGAATGAGTGAATGCATGAATGAATGAATGAATGAACAAACAAATGAACCTCTCTAATGTAGCCCAATCAAGCATTCCCTTCTTGCTTGGATCTTGTCTCTCTGCTTGGATCTGTTTGGCAGTAGGTAAGGGGTTATGAACTTGCTTGTCTACAGGGGGCAGGCTGGTAATGTAAATAAATAAGGTAAGGTGGCAAACTAGAAACCCTTCCGTGAAGAGGACAGCAATTCCTGAGCTCCAGCACTTTGCTAGGCACTTTGTTTTTTTTTTTAGCAGAAAAAAAACTTCGGTTTTGAAAAAAAATATGAAATGTGATTTTTAACTTGATTTTTGAAAAAAGCTCTGCAAGCAAAAAAAAACAAACAAACAAACAAACAACCCAACAAACATTTCTGCAAATGATTTGAGCTGTGAGGTGCCATTTTGTGATTTCTATCAGATATGTCTCCTTAAAACCCTGTATCTAGAATCAAATGAAGGAAGCTTATTAGGTTAACCCTTCTTGGTTATTTCCTTGTTTTGATTTTTTTTTAAATGTTCTGATGTCCTATGTATGTGACCTGTTTTTCACTTGGAGTATCTATGTTTTTTTTTTTTTTTTTTTATCTTTGAGTTTCAATGTTTGACACAAGAAATTCTAACTTTTCACATATCAGATTGATTTGCTTTGCTTATTTCCCTCTAAAAACCTTAAAAACAGATGTTACTTTGAGATAGAAAGTCCTCTGGGCACTGTGTGTATTCTTTTGGGTAATATCTTTGCTTCTTTGCAAATCATGTAATTTTTATCCTTGGAAGACAGATTACATAGAGTTCTCTGTGCATACATAACACAGCATTTCAGATTGTTGTTGTCTCACGTATAAAATTTACATGTACTGGGAACTGTTGCTTTATTTTCCTGAGGATGTTCATCATACCACTAAAATATTGATAAATTGGTTAATTTTGACATGAATCCTTGACCATACTTTTTAAATTTCAGAGTGCTTAATACAAGAATTGGTGAAGCACACAGTAGATGGTTGAATGACAGAGCTGGAATGTGAGCTCAATACTCTGACTTCAGAACTCTACTCTAGAATTCTGCCTCTAGAAGGAACAATCTCCATTTCCTTGTTCTATGCAGACAGTAGAGTCCTAGATCTAGCCATCTTGTAATCTATATTATTACCATCCATTAACTAGTAGCATCTCTTTAGCAGAGAAATTGAGGTCATGGATTGCTTTCACTATGGTTGATGTGAAGCAGATTATTCAGTATTCCTTGGCTCAAGCACTACTTTTTTCCGCCCCCCGTGGTAATGGTTTTTCCACACCAAAGAGGGGGCAAAATGTTGTACTGTTTACAGAAGGACTCTTTCCTTATGTACAGGAAAATTAAAGTTGTCTTTAAGAGAAATTATTGCAGGGCTAGTCCTGTAATTCATGAGTCAGTCTATCACACGCTTACTATGGCTTCAAACTCTCTCCACCTGACCTGAAACCACGCAGAGTCCACATGGGCATCAGATGGTGTCAAGTTCTAAGCCACACCCATGCTGTGCATCTATAGTAAGAGGGAAAAACCTAAGAATAAGCACAACCTGACCGAGATGGGGCTGAGCTCCCACTTGGCCCTGTCCCCTTCCCCTGACATTTGAGTCTCCAGCACAGCCTGTGGTGAAGAGTTCCAGCCCAGAAGTCAGACTGCCTGGGTTGGGAACCACTTAGTCATCTACAAACTATGAGACCCTGAAAGGTTCTCCTTTAATCAGAAACGGTGGTGATGATTGTACCTAACTTTCTTTTTTTTGTTTGTTTAGTTTTTGAGAGGAATAATCAAGGGGATTGTTATAAAGCATTTGAGTGTCTAGAATTTAAATTATGCTCAAAAAAAGTTAGCTGGTATCATCAGCACCACAGCCATCTTGTTTTCACTCTCATTATCAGTAGCATTGGCAACATCACCATCATCATTCCCAAGAATGTTCTGCTATTTCTTGACCAAACTTTGGAACACTTGATATAATTGACATAGCTTTAGATGTGGAGTCAACCACCCACTGATGATATCACTTGGAGCAAGCCAGTACCTCTCTGGGTCTCTGGTTCTGAATTTGGAAACCAAGACAGTTGAACTAGATGATCTCTAACTTTCCTTAGGTCACAGCCTCTGCTTCTCTTGGGATTTGGCCTCTTTACAGCTGGAACAGAGCCCTGGATGCCAAATGCAGCCCTGCGCCACTCTGTTAAATGGTGGCCTTTAATAGAAGGCCCTTCCTTCCAGGAATTATCCTAGCTCTTCTTGCCTATTTTCCAACACCTATGCCACTTGCCATGCTCTGTCCTTGTTGATGGGAAAAAAAAAATAAGCCAAGGCTTTATTTCCTCAAGGACCGTGATCTTGGGAAGGTGAATTAACATTTCTGAACCTGCTTTTCTCCCCCCTCCCTTTTTTAAATTAATAAAATGATAGTACATAAAAGGATATAATACTGGATATAGCATTTTAATACTTTGTCATATTTGAATCTGATAATTCATGTATTCATGAATAAAACATTACAGATACAATTCAAGCCTCTTTGGTCTCC